GTATATGTATATGTATATGTATATGTATATGTATATGTATATGTATATGTATATGTATATGTATGTAATTAATACATATTGAAGAAAATGTTAGAATTATTATTTTTTGTAACTAATTTATATAAAGTTTTATACAAAAAGGAAGCAATGCGATAGTTTATAATTTAAATAAGAAATATTATATATATATATATGAAAATTGATCAAAATAATATAATTGGGTTGATAATAAAGTAATCTAGGTTTTCACAAATTGATAGTGTTATGTTTGTTTTTAACGACTTCTGTGAATGTTATCATTTTTTTCCTTTTGTGATCATAAACCTTTCGACATGTACGTTTAAACTCAAGAAATAAGCAATTTTACACGTATGTAGAAACTCAACACTTGGCCTTACAGTAATAGAAAAGTATCAATTTCTAAAATGCACTTTCTTTCCTTTCATCTTGAAGAGGGTTTAATACCATGTAACAAATCAGTTAATCCAAACCAAACTATTTTGGCAACCAGTGAGATAATTTTTGTTTTTCTATCAATGTAAAAACAAATGTATGATTTCATATTAACAATCTTAATAAGTACATTCTTTTCATATAAATAAATAAATTCTAACATAAAACAAAAATATATATATATATATTAATAGGCTGGTCAAAGGACTAATGACCGGGGTCTTTCCGCCCAAACAATCTTATTTTTATGGAAACAAATCATAGTAGTAGTAGCGATCAAAAGAGTATGATTATAAATCCATTATAAACCATTGAGGTGTGATACCGTTATTCCTTATCACTCCTTCCTGATATTGTCATACTACGGGCTGAAGTGAGCCGCACAGTACAGGGCAGGAGTGAGACGCCTTAGTAACGGAATAAAGGTTTTCAGGGGAATAGGCTAAATTAATTATAGTTAATATAACAACTCAATAATGCTATTAACGTATGTTATTTTCGTATTTTTAAACTATCGCATTAATTGAAATTTTCAGATGTGTTTAGCTGTTTCGATTCATGGGGATACAGTAAACAATGGACGAATTTTGAAATATTCCGCCCAATACTTAATTGATGATCATGGCAAATTTACATGTTCTATCGACACAAATATAGCTTACGAGAAGAAATAATTGTTATATGTTTCAAATTATGTATATGTTTTATTTTAATAAATTACTAGTATTTCGTTTTCTACAGAGGAAACAATGTTATTATTTATTATTAAAACATGGAATATTTTTTTAGGGATTTAGTGAAGAATAATACAAACATTTCATCCAAAATTAAAAAAAAAAAAAAAAAAAACAATATAAATTATGAATTTACAAACATTAACTGTATTAATATTTAGACAAATTGTCTTAAAGTTTTTTCAAAATTATGAGTACATCTTTTTTTGTAAAAAAGCCATTGCATAACAGTTCCTTCATATTTTTGTCGGAGAAGTGTTTCATGTGCAGTTGGCAGTTCGTTTTTCTGCTAACAATTCAATTACTGTATCATTTCCTAGCCGTGTAATTTTGGTGATCAAAATTGGCCGCCCAGGTTTATGCCAACAAACCCACGACCACGACATTTTTATGCAAAAAGGTTATGGAAAACTTCGAAAAAAAGAGTGTCTACGTGCCAGCAAAGCCGATATGCTATTCCATATCAAAATTACTTCTTGCATGAATTTTGGGACACCCTTTACAAGAATTTAACGATTTTGTTTTGTCTAAAAATTTGCGTTTTCTTTTGAATGACAAGCATACTCTTATCAATAAACTACCGTCATTAAGTTTTACTGTAAGTACACAATTCTTGGAATCTTATGTCATCATCGATTAATTATAGTTTAGTTCCCTTTATTGGTAAGATTTATCGGGAAGACTGTTAGTCAACTGATAATGGTGGGAAGTTGTTGTATGTCCTGGTTAGAATTTTTATGTCGCATTCAATGTGAGCGTGTGTTCGTAAATGGATGTGTTTAAAGTTAATAGTTGTGATTTCAAAATGTTAATATTACTTCTTTTCTTGTGGTTTGGTAATTTAAGTGGCGAAGAAGCAGCATGTGAAATAACTAAAGAATGCAATATATTTTGTAGCTATAAAGCTATAATAGAATTAAAATATTTTACTTCATGCAAACATTTTAATGTAATCAAATTCCAGTACACCGATATTGATAATAACCAATTGCAAAATTTGAATAATTATTCATTTGAATATCTCGATCTGCAGTCAACTAAGAATATACAGAATGTACGTTATGCAATCAAGGGATTAAATATTCAAAAATTGCGTATATATGGTCATAATATTAAGGAATTTAAAGCAGATATGTTTATAGAAAGTGGACCTTTCATTCTAATATCACTGACTTGCAATAATATTGAGGTTTTCCAACGAAAATCGATTCCTAAAGCAATATGGGTATATCTAAACCAAAATTTAATTAAAACGTTAAGTGCAGATATGTTTACTGACATATCGTATGTGAAATATTTGATTTTAAGAGAGAATCATATAAAGAAAATTACGGCTTCATCACTGATGGGTTTAAAAGCATTTAATTTGGATTTAAGCTATAACCATTTAGAAAGTTTAGAAGACAACTCAATTCCCGAAGTAAAAAATGTGTTCTTGAATAACAATAAACTGAAATCAATATATTCTCAAATGTTCGTAAACATTTCGAATACAAAACTACTCGATGTGAGCTACAATAGTATCAGTAATTTTAACTTTCAAAACGCGGATATAGTTATACTAAATATGAGCGACAATAAAATTACAAACATATCGCAATATAGTTTTTCTGGAATGAAATGGTTAAGAAATTTATCACTGTCAAATAATCTGATTGCATCACTTGAAATGAAATCAATACCGAAAGTTGAATATCTAAATTTGAGTTACAATTTACTTACATCCATTGAATCAAACATGTTCTTCAATCCGAACCATCTAAAGTATTTGGATATAAGCCAGAATTGTATCGAAAAGTTAAATTTAAAATTGATGAAACAATTGCACATTTCAATCGGAATTTTGAATGAAAATTGCATGTTCAATACGTATACAATTGTTATATCGCAACGTACACTTTATATAATTGGAGCAGTCATATTGGTCACTATTCTAATAGGGATTATACATTCAAGTGAGTAAGTTCAAAATTATATTGTAAACATAATAGTTTTGATAAATGTTTTAGGACGGTTCGTCAAATGCTCAAGACAGGTATTTCATTTATTATAATAATTGTATTTTATGTTAATTTAAATTAGATTTTCATTTAAAATTTATTTTGTTTTAGAATTCGGAAACTTCAAAAGCGGCTGATTATGGTAATTATTTGCTTTAGTCACTTCTTTAAATTAACGTTAAATGTAAATAACTCCCAATTTTTTTTTATTGAAAGAAAACTATTTCCATGGAAATTCATCACAATTATTAAAAAGTTTTCTTTTTATTATTTGAAACAAAAATTTAATATAAATTACATTTGAATCATTTTCAATTTCCTTTATTTACATTAGTTTGCGGTAACAATTATCAATTATTCAACTATGAGTAATTTTATTTAATATATTTTATCTATTTGTAGAAAATGTCCTCACCTAGATTTCCTATAAATATAATATTTATCATCGGGTATGAAAACCGAAATAAAAATGTAGTATTACCTTCAATACTGGTTAAATGCTTAACCGGTTATGATTACTAAAATTACTTAATTTATCATCCATTTTACTAAAAATATCTTCCAATAAACAAAAATCACGATCTGATAGTAACATAAATATTATTGAGCCTAAATTATACGAATTTTACTTCTGACTATTGAATACATTTCACGAATCCCAATAACATATTAATTAAGATAAATCTTCAAGATAAAAAGTAATTTCACTTGATTATTGTTTTAGATCGTATTTCAGGTGCAATAGTTAATGACATCGACACGGGATACATAGGTACGTAATAAAAGAAAACAATTCATTAAAAAGAAATTAATAATTGAATAACATCTTTTTTAGAACCCACAAACGTATATGAAGGTAATCATGGCATAAATCTTAAAGTAATAATTAATTACAGTTTGTATAACGTTTCAGAGATCAACAGTATATTTTCAGCACGAGAATCCAGTAATTGTGAGTTATTTGTTGTTTTCGTTTTTTTTTCAATGCATTAATTGAAACTTTCAGATATGACCCCTCGCTCAACGGCACGAAGATACAATCTCTAATGTATTTCTATGCTTATTGTATAATATAATTGTAATAATAATATTAAACGAATTGTTAACACTTATAAAATTAATTGCTTTTGTATAAAAAAAAACATGTAATAATCGTTTTATATAGTGAGGAATCAATGAGATAAAATAATAAGTAAATAATTAAATATTAGATACATGTAAAATAATAAATATAGTTTTATTTTGAATATTAACAAAGAATAAAAATAATACAAAGTATACTTGGTTCTCTTTTTATGCGGAAAACGCATAAAAATAAATCGCACAAAAAAGGACTAGACACACGTATAAAAATAAAGGATACGTTCCATAATTTTTTAAAACCGCATAAAACTAAATCAGTGAGTTACAATATACCGAAAATTGCATAAAAAAGGGTTTATTAAATTTCAGATAAATAATTAGTCTTACTATATTCTTTCTGAAATGTTTATTCACTATTTTATAAAAACGTTAACAATCATAGACAAGTTTATTAAATTTCAGAAAAATATAATCTTAACATATTCCTTTATACGGAAAAATTTTACAAAAAAAAATACAGAAAATTTTGATGAAAGTTAATATTTCTTCACATTTTTTTCTTTAGAATTATCGTCGCTATATGAGAGTGTTCGGCATAATTTGCGAACTGGTTCGAAATCACTTTCATCACTAGAAGAGATAGTCAACATATCAGAACTATGTCCTGAAGATAATGATTCTTCACAAGTAAAATTACTCTCAACTTCGCATGTTAATTTTTTCCCTTTGACAATATAATCAGTGATTAAACTTTTCGATGGCTTTGCTATTTTTTTGTACAATTCCTGATATCAAGAAATGCAATTCTGAAGCTCGCGTTGAAACTTGAATGCTCGTTCAGAATTGTCATCTTTTTTGATGAAATGGTTTGTCAATTTGTGTCAAAACGTGTCAAAATGGCTTAAAATAGTTATTTAAAAAAAATGCTTCTTGAAATGAAAACCGCATAACTTCAAAACCGCATAAAAAGAGGACCTAGTGTAATAAAAAATCAATAATTAAGACGAAATAGTGTGTTGAGAAATATTACTAAATGATTAAGAAAAATAACGAACAGTAGCGCTGTTACCAATTCACGGACTTCAACTTCTTCTCTACTTGCTTTTTTCTTTCTTCTTCGTTTCTCACCCCTTCGCCATTGTCGCGACTGAAACAAATTGCGAGACGGGCATTGTTTCAATGTCATCAATAAAATCCATTTCCCTCCTCCTTTGTTATTCGTTAAACTGTAGAACACCCCCCCTTTCAACGACGTTGCATTACACTCGAGAGAAAGTGCGAAACCGAAAAGCCCTTCTTCAACACTTCTCTCCGTCTTTCTACTCTCATACTTTCTCACTCCACTCGAGTACAATGCGCCAATTACACTTAATAAAATTATTGTAAGGAATTCGGGTGAATTTCTTTGCTCCGGGCTCTGCGGAGTTCTCCGAAGGGAAAGGGCCCTAAAAAAAATTTAATCTAAGCAAACAATTCGGCTCGTTGTGAATGTGTGTGTATGTGTGTGAGAATGGTCGAAGGAGGGTATTATTAAATTGACGCAGTGGGCTTTTTATGTATTTTATCCTCGCTTTGGGGGAGGTGGCCTGGGGCACTTCAAGTGCAAGGGCCGACCCCATTGTTCCGCAAAATCTAATGAATCGTCCCACCCTATTGTAACATACTCCAGAGCGCAGTGGAAATAGCGAGATTCGAGCACACAGTGCACTTTCAGTTGAATCTTTTTTTGTGAGATAACTTTTTCGAGCGTATTTCTCAGCCCGAACACCAACGAATTTCTCATGTCTCATTGATTAAAATAGATTAAAAAACTCTAAGTTTTCCGACATATTTGAACTATCTATGTATTTAGATAGATTTCCTATATTGTTAAAAATAATATACAATCCAATCCAATCACAAATTATGATTCAAATAATAAGTTTAAACTTTGTAAGGTATCAACTTTTTCAAGCCTAAACCACCAACGAATTTCTCATTTCTCATTGATTAAAAAAAAAGAGAAAATTTTAAGTATTTCGACATATTTGAACTATCTGCCTACTTAGATAGATTTCTAATATTGTAAATTAGTTTGTTTTTGTATGATAACAACTTTTTAAGCGCATTATTAACACCAATATTTTTATAATTGAATTAAAAGAATTTACTTTTTTAAGAATTTTCACATATTTTTACATTTATAGGTCTGTCTAGTTAAATAGATTTCTAATTGTTTAAACAATTGCGTACTAATCACAAATTATAATTCAGAAAATAATTTTACACTTTGTAAGGTAAAAACTATTTCAAATGCAGTTTTCAAGTTGAACACCAACAAATTTCTCATGGAATTGATTAAAAAAAATAAGAAATATTACAGTATTTGCAAAAAAAAATAAATTTATTTTAATTTTTACTTTTGCCCAATTAATTAGAATTCAAAAGTTCTAAACGATAATATGATATTTAAAAAAATATTATTTAGAAGAAAATAAGTTTTCCGAGAAAATGTTCATTGTGAATCCCAATGAACTTTGTTCAAATAGAATAGAAATAACAAAATTGTCTACATTTTAAAAAATCTTTATAGACGTTTTAAATGTATGGTAATAAAAAGAACGGAATTATTAGGAATGATTTGTTTACTATTTTTTATTGGTTTTAATTTGGTTCAAAAGAATGAAAGAGAATTAAATAAATTAGTACAAAACTTTGTAGTTTACAAGCTTAGTATAAATTATAATGAAACTATTTGATGAAAGTTATTTATTTCCAAAATATAATACAATTTATTCTAATTAGTGATAATTATTTTATTTTGTTTATAAATTATATTGTAATTAATTGTAAGTATTGCAATAGGCTATTAATTTCATAGAATATCGAATAATATACGATCTTCTAATTAAGGAAAAATATAATTTAATAAAAATGTTATAATACTCTTATTATTAATTATAATTTGTAATATACATTAAAAACATATAAATATAATGAATAATGTATATAAAAAAGTTTTTCTGCTCTAAATATAATTTATTTTGCTAATGAGGAGGCTAAGTACACATCTTTGGAGGGATAATATTCTTGTATAAAAAAAAATGTGAATAGACATGATAATTAGTGAGGAATAATTCAAGGCAACGTAAGAAATTTATGAATAATCGGGTAATTATTCGGCGGGCTTAAAATTAATTTATTAAAATGTGTGTTTGGAGTGTTGTTGTTACAGCAATTAGGGATGAAAAAGAGGGGAGGCTGAGAACTTGTGCGTGTGTGTATGCAGTGCGTGGGTGAGGCTGTATTAACGGATGGGGGAGGCCATCACCCTTGTTAGGCCGTACGTCCATCAGGATTAAGGTTTTCGTTGTGAAGGGTCCCCTCCATCGCGCCGAATAAATTTGCCAGAATAGAAGAAGAAAAAAATAACAATGAAAAGGGAAAACAAGGAGGAGAGAAAATATTATGGTAATGCGCAATAGCCTCGCATGTATCATAAGCAATATACGAAGGGAATCAGTTGTCACCGATGTATATTTATTTAGATTGTTTTTTGGGGACGACGATGAAGAAGAAGTGGGAAGAAAACACACCAAATTGGATTCGCTATCTCGATGTCCTAGGGTTGGAGTCCTATAGTTGAGGGGGCGCTACTGCGTGATCGTTGCCACAGGAACCAGGATACAAACAAAAGCGTTCCATGTTGTCAATGACAGGTGGAGGTGGACGTAAAGAGTTCGTAATAATAAGCAATAAAACGCGATTTAGCAATATCGGAGTTTTATATGTGCGGTGGCAGTAAAAATGAAATTGAAAATTACGCTGGCCAAAGAGGCGGTACATAAAGCGGCGGTCACGTGCGTCGGCTGGAGCAGCACCGAGGAAGTTTATACCGCTGGGTAAGGAAAACATCAACGTCGTCTTATGTTAATCCTAAGAACAGCAGTCTTGATTTTATTCCATATATTTATAGAGACGATAATCAACTGTTGAGTTGGAATGTATCTAGTAATGAGTCGACGAAGATTGCACAAATGGGAGAAGAGCTTCTACCAACCGATTTGCAATTCCTTCCGAGGATCGGTGGAAGCTTGGGTAAACTTGGTGATCTGATACTTATCACGTCTGCAGATGGTAAGTTCCACGTGATGAACAGGAGCGGAAGGATAGAGAGGAGCGTGGAAGCTCACAAAGGGGCTATTCTCGTAGGCCAATGGAGCAACGACGGAGCCAGTCTCTTAACAGGTAATCATTATACGGTTTCCATTCAAATAAGGATCTGGATCGACGAATTTCCGAATAAATTTGTTGAGGCCGAGCATCGGTGTCTGTCCAATTCCAAATGTATCAATATTTAAATAAGGTGCGACGCGCAATTTATGCAATTCCCTATTTGCATTCGACAGTTCAATGTTTAAACAGTATATCGATATGCCGTATACCTTTTGCTTTGTTTTTACAAAATTATTATTCCTTGTGGCTTTCCACTACATTGTAGTGACTACAATAACTGAATTATATAATATTAATAAGAGAACCCACCAGCATCAATAACCGGCTACCCCTATACTTGCGAACAAACGAGTTTTTGTCATATAATTAAGTAATTCACAATTGAAAGTAGCTACTTTCTTATACATTATTATTATGAACTGAACTAATAATCTGATTATTTAAACACTTAATTTACAAAATGTATAAAGGTATCATCATTTTATTTTTACATTTTTTTTATAGTTTTGTAGAAGTCATTAACATTGACAATCTAGTTCAAATTCTTAATCATTTACATTTTTTACTAAATCCGTTGAAAATTTTCATGTTATTATGTTAGTATAATTTGTGGAAATTAAAATTAAATATATTAAACATTAAGGAATTTTCTAGAACAGATTACTTTATGATATATTATCAATTGTAGCAGCGTTTCCCAATCTTTTTTTTGTGGACTTATTAATTTTTATTATTTCCAAAATTTAAATGTCTAGGTTTTCCGGAGTTTCTTTTGTTCGAGTCGGCTGTGCTTTCGTAGCTTCATGTGATCTTATGAAACGTCATTGAACATTGAGCAATTGGAAATGAAAAAAAAATAAATTTTATGTATGAGTTGATCAAAAATTACTTCATGATTGATTTTTGACCAACTGTGACCTTTTTTGCAACAATTAGCATAACATAAATATTGATTTTTCTTCATTTTTATCTTTCACTTAATATAGATTATTATAAGAAACTTCATAATGTTTATGAAATATTAATAAATACAGGTTATATTAATGTAAATAAGTTGATTTCAAAAACAAATAAATTGCCCACACTTAAACTATAGGATCATAAAACAAAAATCTTATGTAAACTGATGACATGTAATATTGTTTGAAGCTTAAGTGCAAATTGACGGTTTTGTGATGCCATCTAAATTGAACTGACTACCATGTATTTCCGTTGCCACGTCTCTGTTTCTCCCTCACGCTTTCAGCGATGATAGCAAACGTTTCATAATCAGATCAAACATCCGGTGGTTTAATTAGATAAATATTTTGCGATGTCCCCTTTCCCGAAAGGAAGATCCATCCGCACGTCAAATTTTGACTAGCTGCGCCCGTTCGTCGTCATCCGCCGCAAGACATCAAAAGCACATAATGCGATTAGTTCACAATGTTTACTCGTTGTATTAATTATCCAGCGTTTTCTTATTCAATTATCGAAGTTGGTGGGTGGATAGGGAAAGGGTGGTGCGGTTTGAAACGGTGCCATTCATTAGAGATGTATCTGATTAAACTGGTGGAAAAGTTTGCGGCGAGCCCACATTTAAACGTTACCGCCAATACCGAAACTGCACCATCGACTTCCCTTATTTACATATCGAAACGTTTTAACTCAAAGTATCAATTACCAATAAGATCCACATAACATCAATTACCAGATAGTCATCAATTCCGTACGAACTTCAGCTGCGCTATTCCCACTAATCAAGACTATCTTTTTACATTTCATTAGAGAAAATACCTTTAGTTTAATTAAATTGCAAATTATCTGATTTATTTTGTTTAAACATTGGCTATAGACCAGGTTTTTTCGTCTAATTATATGAAGTAAATTAGAAACATTGGTCTAAACATGTAAAAAGTTAAATTTTCCTAGTCATTAGTCAAGTATCGTGTAGTAATTAAAGGATATGTCTAGTCGTGTGACATTTTTATGTAATAATATTGCAAAATATTTATCTAATTAAGACGAGTGTTGTTAATTTTCATTAGTAACACTTATATATCATCAATAAGATATTTGATACTTAGAAAAGTTAAGCAACATATGTCAAGTGATTATTGACAACTGACAGGTATGACATTTAACTATTGACAAGTCTAAATTTGTCATTTTGTCAGTGACAGTTGTGTTTGTAATAAATCAAAGAAAAGGATGTTACTTATAGGAAATAAGTTGTATTAATTAGTTGGAAAAGTACGAACTTCAGCTGCGCTATTCCCACTAATCAAAACTATCTTTTACATTTCATTAGAATTTAGTTTAATTAAATTGCAAATTATCTGATTAATTTTATTTAAACATTGGCTATAGACCAGTTTTTTTCATCTAATTATATGAAGTACATTAGAAACATTGGTCTAAACATGTGTATTAAAATAATATTGCAGCCATGTACGTTAAAGTTTTTATACTAAAAAGTTAAATTTTCCTAGTCATTAGTCAAGTATCGTGTAGTAATTAAAGGATATGTCTAGTCGTGTGACATTTTTATGTAATAATATTGCAAAATATTTATCTAATTAAGACAAGTGTTGTTTGATTTGATTTGATCTGATTAGAAGACGTTTGCCGTCATCATAGGATATGAGAGAGAAGCTGAAATGCACACGCAACGATGGCATTAGTTCTACGTTTCAATTTAGACGACACCGCAAGACTTCCGTGCAGAACTGGAGCGTGCTTCCTGCTCTCCGCTCCGAACCGAAGATGAATTGCAAATGGCATTTTAATTAATCAACTAGTCATTCCATTTACATGAATATCCAATGTGCGCGCCTTCGTCTTTGTCCGTGTCACTGCAGCTGTAATAATTGTAACAATTGTTTTGAAGGCGGCGAAGATGGTTTCATTAAAGTTTGGTCCCGAGGAGGAATGCTACGATCGAGCGTGGTTTCTAGCGAAAATTCAGTGTACGGGGCGAGCTGGGCCCCGGATAGCCAAGCAATTGTCTACACTCAAGGAAGATTGCTAGTAATTAAACAGCTCGCACCAAACACGAAACCTGTTAAAGTATTCATCAACCCAGTTTCCATCTAATGGCCCCGTTTCGCTAATTGATTTTTCTCTTTGTGTTTCTTCCTCTTCCCGTCGTTCAGTGGAAGGCGCACGAAGGGCTGATCTTGTGCGTGTCCTGGGGTTCGTCGAGCGAGTGGATAGTTTCAGGTGGTGAAGACTGCAAATACAGAGTCTGGGATGGTCAGGGTAGACCTCTATATTCCAGCGGGCTTCACGACCATCCGATCTCATCTATAGCGTGGTGTCCGGGTGGGGACCTCTTCGCCATCGGATCGTACAACACCCTTCGACTTTGCGATCATTCGGGGGTGAGTATAGGGGAAGCCCTTTAATGATTCAATTTGCCCTAAATAAATATTGATACTACTGCGTGTCTACAGTGGTCAAGATCGTTAGAGAAACCTGCGACGGGATCCATTTATAAATTGGCCTGGTCGTCGGACGGCACCCAATTAGCAGGGGCTTGCGCCAACGGCCAAGTGATCTTCGCCCACGTCGTCGAAAGGTCCATCGAATACGCTAATTACACTGCGACCGTCTCCGAAAGGAAAACTGTAACGGTTCACGACGTCACCACGGACACTAAGGAATACTTAGACGTTCCCGAAAGGGTCATACAGCTTTCAATGAGATATTCCCATCTTGTCCTTACAACACCCAAGCAATGTTACATCTACAACTCGAGTAACTGGAACACACCGACCATCTTCGACTTGAAGGACGGCAGCGTCATCCTTCTGCTCCAATCCGAGAAGTAATTATGCCGTAACAAACGCATCTCGGTCCGATCTTTAATTTAAACTTTCTCCTCCAAAGGAATCTATTGCTGGTCGAGCGGAGTTCGGTGGGCCTCTACAACTATCAAGGAAGATTAATCGCATCGCCACGCTGGCCGAACATGCGATTGGAGGCTTTAAAAGTCCAACACATTTCCTTATCGCCCGATACTTTGGCTGTTAGGGATGTCTCTGATCCAAAAAGTAACTACAACAACTTATTTCATTATAATACTCAATCCTGAAACTTATCTCGCAACTGCTTCCATTCCCACAGCAGCAAAACCCTACAATTTAGATAATACGAAACACATCCCAACATCATTAATCTAAAGATCAATACAAACTACTCATCAAATAATTAGTCACTTAACGTATAAGATTTATGATTTATCATCTCCATTAAGCTTTTTCTAATACTTTTTAATAGTTATATAAGTTATAAAAACAAAGAGTTTTCATAAATATTTTCCTTTTCAATAACGTCAATATACAAGAAATATATTACAGTATCATTAGTTTATAGAAAATTTTGATGTGACGTTGACGTTTCGTACAACACTAATCTATAATAATTATTAATATTTACCTCAGAATGCGTTCAGTGTAATTTAACTTAGTGTAATCAAACATGTAATTTCATTAACTTAATCCCATATCTGCAATCATAATCTAAATATTGGTTGGTATTAGGATTATAGTAATTAATAGTATAGATTAATAGCTATTAATTAATCTGGAATTATTTCCATTAATTTAATTTATAAAGAAGGAAACGTGTAAATAGAAATTCAGATTTAATATTATCATCACTTATTTGTATATTTTGACATTATGTTCACGATCACAGACGTTGATGTTTATTATAATATTACTCCTTATTAACAACGTCAATTACAAAACGCACTAACATAATTATTTACTTTAGTATAATTTGACCTAGTCTATTCACGCATGCAATATCATTAGTTTAATCCTATTGCAATCAGCATACCAATTATTGATAGGTATTAGGTTGATATTAATTAATGTAAATAGAAATTCAATTTTTCTCACCTCCTCTCTTGTGCAAACACTTTTTCACGGATATCGATTTTCGTTCAGGAATTGAATAATTCATCAGTTTATAGCTGAGCTTTTAAAACTCATCCCCGCTCTTAAAACGAAACTCAATCATTTTCGATTTATTCTTGCAAAACCGAATTGAAGATTGGTTTTATTTATTTCCATAAATCTTTCAGTTCAATTGTTAATATGAAGATTTTATTAGATTTTAAGTCAATTTAAAAAAAATGGTAATCAAAAACTTAAAGTTAGTTTATAATAATTATTATATTTGTTAAATCATTATTCTCATTACTAACAAGAAACTCTGGCAAGTCTAGAAATGTTCATCCATTAGCTTCTACACGTTGCTTAACTATTTCGTAATTAATAAACTTTCGAATATCTTTTTAAAAATTGAAATTGAGACAAATTCTTAACGTATGAAGAAACTGATTGTTGTGCATATATTTTCAGTAGGTTAATTTTCATTGTTTTCGTTAATCGATGCACGACTAATTTATTGATTAACTTGAATATAACTTGGATTGTGGCCGAAATGCGAAACGTAATACATTCATTCCACGACTGCCATTAGCTCGCATTGTGCGATCATTACGTGCATTCTCTCAATATTATTTTCCATGCACGCACTTACATTACGTAATCTATGACTAATCTATATTCAATATTTGCATGTGTTTCGCATTAAATATCGATAATTCCGGTTAATATGCGGTAGCTTCCAATTACAGCAATTAACGTAATAAGCTCTCTATAATGGAGTACCTAGGCTATGTTGAGCATTATTAATTATCATCATTTCAATATCTAAAACGATTGTTTGCAATGAATTTGTAAATTATCATTGTAAATAACATAATTGTCTAGTTGGAATCGATTAAAATTTAAATAGGATAGTTTTTATAAATCAAGCGTGGTTTAGCTTAGAAAAGTTAAGCAACGCATGTCAAAGAAATTATTTAGATAGGTGACTGTTAACATGTCTAAGTTTAAAATTAATTTTCATTAGTAACACTTATATATCATCAATAAGATATTTGATACTTGGAAAAGTTAAGCAACATATGTCAAGTGATTATTGACAACTGACAGGTATGACATTTAACTATTGACAAGTCTAAATTTGTCATTTTATTATGTAAAAATAGATTATTATTAAAAAGTTAAGCAGTGTTTATTAAGGATATTATTTTGATAGGTGATTTTTGGTATTTGTTAGTATAAAGATGAATTGAAGTAGTATTGCTTTCCTATCAAAGTGTCAGTGACAGTTGTGTTTGTAATAAATCAAAGAAAAGGATGTTACTTATAGGAAATAAGTTGTATTAATTAGTTGGAAAAGTAAATAATTTATCTGGAATTTAATGAAACGAAACCTACAAAGTTTCATTTTGGTTCTATTGGGGTAGAAGGAAAAAAACAAGATGTATCCGTCATTGATTAAGAGCATAACTTTCTGGCGGACTTAATAAAAGTGGACGTGAAATCAATGTTAATATCGTTCGCTCCGATTCATTCGGCCGTTGCCGGTCGAGCCGCAGAGTGCAGGGTTTTAATTTGATTTTGATGTTTTAATTGTCCTTACAGCTCTTCACATAATTGATCTGGCCTCGAATCGCAATATGTCGGAAAACGTTTCCACCATCCAACATGCAGGATTTATAATTCAATTAGCTTTGGATCAATCTGGGACGGCATCGGAGCGGCGTGTCGCTGTGATGGATAAGAATCGAGATTTATTTATGGTCGAAGTACGGGATGGTCATAAAACTTTCCAGAAATTGGGTTAGTCTTTATCCATTTTTATTTAGTTAATGATGGGTTGTGTTATGTGGGGAATTGTTGGGTTTTTAGGTGGTCAAATTCAGTCATTCAAATGGAATAGCGATGAGAACATGGTGGCTGCAGTACAGGACACCCGATTAATAATTTGGTACTGTCCTAGCGCCTGTTTCGATCGGGACATTTTGAAACTTTGCTCGCTGCAATACGATTCTCACGAGCTGGGTAGATCGCCGAGGATTCATGATTTCGTTGGGAATTCTGTATCGATCCGAAGGGCCGATGGGTCGCTTCTAAACGTTCCCATTTCACCGTTCCCATCTTTGCTGCACAGGTAACAAACGACTTAATCCTTGTCTTACTCTTCCACAAAATTCCTTCATTGAATTACAATGATTTTATTGGAATCAGATGAAATAGTATAGACTCATGACAACATACAAAGTTTAAGAGACGAAACATATTTTTTTCTTTAGCCCGGCGCATCCACTAAATATTGAATTAACATTTTCTTATGTACCGAAAAAAAAACTTAAATTTCACAGTTAATTACGCCAAAACCATAATAATTACAAATCTCTCCATTTTATGTAGCATAGTCTATAGTTTTTACTTTAATTAGAGTAATAATTTAAATTTTATCCTTGAATAATTGCCAAACAAATCGATAAAATGTAAAGGCTTTTTCGAAGCTCTCAAATATATGTTTATCAATTTGTACAGTTAATTATAGGAATGTTCATCATTTTATTACTATAAACTATAACAGCTACAAATGTAAAGTCTATATATTTAACTTTAATTAACAAATTAATTATTATTATTCGTAAATAATTAATTAAATGTGATAAAACTTTCTTTTTTTTCAACTTTGGCAGTTTATTGCAGGAAAATCATAGTAACAATCAATCTTTGTTAATGAACCTATTTGTATCTATAATTGGAGATTAATTGACATTTGTGAGAATGTTTACGGAGAAATACGAGAAAATGTGAAGACATTTTTTAAGGCCCTGAAAAACTCTTTTTTTTTCAATTTTGATAGTTCATTACAGGAAAATGATAATAACAATAAATCTGTCAATATACGTATTTGACATTTGTGACTTAATATTTATCGAGAAATATGAGAAAACTTAATACAAAATTTCATTAAAATTGTAATGAGTGTCAAAATTGTCAAATTTTCATTTAAAATGATTCATGTAACTTTTGGTTATGAAAAACTATATTAATGAATTTTGTTGTTTTTTTTAGCTATATACAAAGCAACAAATGGACTGACGCTCTGAATCTATGCAGGAACATCAACGAAACATCTTTATGGGCTTGCCTAGCAGTGTTGGCAACTCAATCAGATACCGAAGCCCTTGAGATTGCCGAAGAAGCCTACGCAGCGATCAACCAATACGACAAAGTCCTTTACATACAACACATAAAGGTATCCACAAAGTGCGAATCCAGAAAACCACCGTTTCTTTACAAAATCATCTTATTTACAGGAACTATCGCGACCTCTTCAGTTGGCCGGCGCTGCCCTTTTGGGAGGTCAAATCCATCATGCGGAATCCGTCCTCCTTCACAACGGAATGGTATACTACGCGATCCTCAATCACATCAAATTGCATAATTGGAGCAGGTCGGTTAGCGTTGTTCGCTGCATTCAGCTTCTCATTGCGATTTAACTTGTAGGGCCCTCGAATTAGCGGTCAGGCACAAAACTCACATCGACACGGTCCTCTATTTGAGACAGAAGTACCTGAGCAAATTGGAAAAGCAGGAAATCAATAAGGACTTTATAAACTTGAATAAAACGGTGAGCATTCGCGGCGACTCGAATTCAGCAGACCGAAAATCTTTAATCATCTCTTCCACAATTTTTCAATGTATCGCTTTTTTTTTTCTTTTCATTTTCATTCTGTTTCAGATTAATATTGATGAGAGCAAAATATTGGAACGAATGGAACTGGAGAAACGCAAACATTAATCTGTTATCTCGCATCAAATATGTGCGGGATTCCGATATTACAATATTATCGAAATGGAATATTTCATTTGAACTTTGCGGTTTTGTAAATATGTGCGCTGCGGATTATAAGGAAACTCGATTTCAATTTATGCAAACAGTGGGAAAACATCGCAGAAGCGCGAAATTGGTGAAACTTTGAAAACCGGGATTCCGGAATTGCATTAACGATCACCTTATTTTTATTATATAATCACTTTTTAAGCAATAATAAAAGTTGTTAATTTTATGTTTGTCTCTGCTTACATAGCAATTCCATTACATCTAGATGGGTTTATATAACTATCGAAAGTTAGTTTAACTAAACAGATAAAAGATCGAATGATGGATCAAAGACATAATGAAAGACAACGATTTCGAATCTAAAGTGGTGATAGCAATGTCTGGAAACATGTTTTTTTTTTCGTGAAATGCTTATGCCATTGACCATAGATCTGAACATCCCCTAAGAAAGGAAATTTCTCTCTTGGGACAACAAAATTGCTACATTAAGAAAGAACCATTTATACAACTGTAATTGGGGGAGCTCAAATCTTTGCCTCATTCTAGTATTTTATGATTGCTCATCAGATATGTCAACATGTTCAACATGATTTTGATTCATACCATCTTTTGGTCTTCTTTAATCATAACATAAGGATTAAAGATTCTAATAAGTTTTCTCTTTCTTGAGACTTTTCAAGGAAAATACTGTTTAAGTTAAAGATATTTAGATTTTAAGCTTTGTATAAAATCTCTCATGACTATGAATATAAAAAATTCTGAATCCTATGTTTCTAAAAGCATGAAAATCCAACCAATATAAATTAATTTTATTGTGATTCATTGGAATTGGGTAATAATTTTGATTTAGTTAATAATTTGCGTCCACTGAGTGCAATAATTCGAAGAAACGAATTCAATTTAGTAATATTGAATATCCCCTAATGACAAGTTCACAATAATCGAAATTATTCCATTATTCCGTAATTTAAATTACCGTAAATTTCGTATTGCGGCATTCATATACCAATAAATAGATAGTATAATAAAACCAAAAATACATAAATCCACGTTTCATTATGTCCATGGAAATTTAATGAAGTAAAATATGGTTTTTCCAGTTCGAAATATTAAAAAAAAAATACAATCCAACCTATATGAATGATTTTGTATGAATATTTATATTTTTCTATTTAAAGTATCAAATTTAAATTAAAACAAAATACGTATAGCAGTGTATCCTGACCTTTTTGCTATGACGTAAGGTGACAGCCGTAATTTCCTGATCCATTAAATGTGACCCAATAATGGTCTAATGTAAAATCAATGATCTAAACCAGCGTTTCTCAACCTTTTATGAATTGCAATCCAACCTACAGATGTCTGTAATTATAATGCGACCAAATTGCTAAGAGTATTTCGCCAATTCCTAGCTTTGAAACAAGATGACAGTTATCTTTTCACGACCCCTTAAAAATATAAAAAATATATGTCGGTGAAGTTCTGAAGTATTTAAAACCCTTGAATTTAATTTTCAGATTTGCATTATATTACTAGTAACAAAGAAGAATTTGTTATTGGGAATGTGATAAATGATTATAAAACAATATAAAAAAAGATAGGTATAGTTTCATTGTAATTGGTTGTAGGTATTTGATGTGAATAGTGAAAAAAAGAACAGCAGTGGAATGGTAATTCAATGATTTATTATTTTGGGCACCAAAAACAATTGAGCCCTAAACACATTTAATTTGGTGAAAACAAACAAGGAATAAACAAATGTTTGATTTTTGTAAAAAAAAAAAAAAATGCTTTGTATCCGATTCAAATAAAACGCACAAAAAGCATTTTATTCTGTGCATATACAACGGACATGGAACAAAATGTGGATATTTGTTACACAAACTATACAACAGGAAAACAAATACACGCGTGCAGATCGCCGATGAAAAAGCACGCGAATATCGCTTTGATTTCCAAATAAAAATCCGCATACGAAACTAACAAATAATGAATTGATGCTAATCAATATTGTTCAAACAATCGTTGTAGTGCCCTTTCCTAAGCGGATCGATTTGGATCAACGTTCTGAAACAGTCACCATCCGCAGCCACGCTGTTCCCATCACGAACACCTTTGGTTAACCAACTTTTAGCAATGTAAATCCCTGCAAATTATATTTGCAATTAATTAATGAATTTAGTTAAGGTAAAAATACTGTACATTTGCAATCGGGGTCGAGCTCCTGCAAGGACTCCAGCTTACAGAGCATGTCTTCTTTGTGCTTTTTTGTTACATCCTGACTGCTCAGGATCCATCGCAAGTAGAACCACGCGCTGCTATCGGCCGGATCAGTGAACACAGCGTTTTGCACTAAATTGATTTCCTCGTCGAGCGATTCCTGATTCAATTGCTTCAAAGTGCTCCTATAATGCCACGACGAGTAATTCGAGAAATTAATGTTAATACGTTCAGTGGAAAACTTCCGTTCGGCATCGAGATCGATTCCGATTTTCTCGAGAATCAGTCGCCTGTAATCCCAACAATGAACTATTCCCGGATCGAGGGCAGACATAAGTTTTGGAAGTAAAGAAATAAATACGAAGAGAATAATATTGAAACGTTATCCATATTATATATTCTTTTTTTTGTGTGTATACGTACAATTCCTGTCGTCCTTCATGAGGTATAGGGAGCACAATGCGAATTCGCCGTTCCAGTCCGGCTTAGGATGACGATCCAATACCCAGAATCGGTGATACCACGATCCGTACGACTTCGGATTTGCCAGAAGACATTGCTCTGTTAATTTGATTTCACTGGTCATGAACTTTCCTAACTCTTCTTCATTACTTTTATCACTGTAAATAAAAAATAATAATCTTAAAATATACGTTCATCTACTTTATTCTCATATATTTTACCACAACCTACAGAATATAACATCAAGATACAAGATGCACATTTCCTTACATAATTGCAGTATAAATCAATCAATTTAGGCTTTACCCCATTATGACATGGAGGATAGAATTCCAATATTTTTGCATGCATACATAGAATTTTAATTGCTGAATATCATAATTATCCATAAGAATTCACTTTTACCCCACTTGGGGTAATTTATCACGGTTAACCGACCACTGTTCGAAAGACATATTTTATTGCTTATATTTTATGCTTATGTTCATTTCATACAAAAAATGTAATTGAGGCAAATAATGTATAGATATTTAATAATTAACATGAATCTTTTTTGACTCTTTCTCACGTTTTAACACTTAAAATTGATAATCTTCAGACTTCTCTTCATTCCTGTTTTATATTTAAAAATTAAATCATTTCAATCAATAATGTTCATTGAATGCATTGATGTAATTGATCTTTAATAGCTGATATTATATTATTTTGATCACGTAAAACTTGAAACTTTTGCTCTACTCTCTTATATTTTGAAGAATATATAGTTGAAGAATACAATTATACTGCTGTTAACGCTATGATACCGAAGCTTCTATATTACGAAGTCCGCTCTATATATATGTTCATTAACCACTTTTAAAACTAGAAAGGTGGTGGCAATCCCGAACTATGTACCTTCTTCATACTGACTGACGATTTGTAAAAACACATCACGCCATTTTAGAGTAATGTGTTTAAGGATTAACATAGTCTATCAGACGCCACGCGAGTTTTATAATATTACTTTACCATTTTTGCAAAAGGGCAAGTTTTAGTGATTAAATTGTACATAAAAATGAAATTAAAAGTAATCATTGTTTATAGGTGTATCAAAATAATGTTTTTGATCCTCAAAATGAAACTGTTGTACAGATTTACAAAGGAATCACACAAAGAGAAACAGAAACAGACGATACTAGTAATGATGAAGATATTTTATTACATATTTATATATAAACAATTATATATTTATATAAATGAATTACTAACGTTATATTTAACGGAATTTCTCAGACACCACGCGAGTATCGATATTACCAAAAGATGCGTAAGTAATGAAGAAATTTGAAATTTTAATGAATTGAAAGAATTAAGAAAAAGTTATTATATAAAACATACATAATGTTTCTAAGTTTTTCAAAAAAAATTTGCTATGAATTCCAAAATACGTATAAAAATTTAAATTGTAATAACAAAGATTCAAGATTGTATAATCAAGTTGAATTGGAATACGTAGGAAATGCATGATTCGTGCAGTAGGCGTCGAAAATTTGTATGCCCTTTGAATTTGACAATATTATTAATCAGATATTTATTGTGCGCGTGTATGATTATGATACTAATGCATTTAATCCGTCTCCAATTATGGAAGTGGATGGAGTGCGTGTTTGCAACATGTATGTAAATACTTCAATTAAATTTGCACCATGGGCGGAATATGGGCTGACGCTGCAGCGGGATTAAAATGATTTATCCCCGGCCTACGGATCTGTGTAAGCGTCAAACAAATATGTCTGGATTTGTCGTTAAACCGACCGTAAATGTTGCTGTTATTTCTATGCCCTTTGATCACTCCCCAATCTCATTTTCAACACTCATTATGTGAATACAAAATGCACAGTTTATACATTTAATATTTCTATATTCTCTCATGAAAAATTGACATTGTTTCGTCATTAGAAAAACACTTACAAAGATTATAAATGCAGTTGAAAGTCTAACTATGATTCATCATTCTCTCCATCAAATCAATTCCAAATATAATGTAACAGAAAAAATTATATATAATATCATTACAATTGATTTTTCCATTGAAACATTCGATGATTCACCCAATATAATCAATATATTAAAACATATTTTTATATATCATAAAGTATTTTGTGAACTAGCATTTTTTTCTTCATTATATAAGCTTATATACTTTTAAAATACGAAACATATTTAAAGAAGTTGCTGTTAATCTTTGATAAACCTTATGGACTAAATGATTATTATATAATATTAGGAATGAGGGTATAAAAATTAAACTGAAATGAGTGCAGTGGTAATAAAAATTAATACTTCATGTATTAAAACTATACTAAATTAAAAATAGACATCATATCCATACTTACTATATTAAGTATTTGATTAATTGGAATATTAAAATAAATTCGTAGCTTAGGCAACCAAACAAACAGGTCTCAAATATCAATAGAAACGCAAACAAATGATGCATATCTGTTTTTTTTTTTCTATAAATATCCTAGTAATTCTAAGTGTTTACCTGGTTTCAATCTCCTGCAAAATGACCTCCTTGCGATAATTCCACAAAGTGGAAATGTCAGGGTTTGCAATCAGAAGTTGGGAGCAAATAGCAAAACTCGTTTGGTTGTAAGGCACTTCATGCCTGGTGGATAAAATCTGCTGGAATCCTTGCCGATACGCCTTGAGTTTCTCCTGCTGCTTTTTCTCCTTGATGAGCTTCTGCTCTTCAGTTGTTCGAACCTTTAACCTTCCATGCTAAAAAATAATACAGCAAATATTAAATAAACTTTTAAGATATAATTAGACCAAGTTTTCACCATTTTAAAATATTCGTTTAATTGATAAAATTAAATTTAATAAAGTACTTGTGGAAATGATATGAATTGTAAGGAATGTCACAGTCACAATAGATGTGAACACACTTGAAGTTAGCAGTTGGATCAATTTGATTAGAGTTAATCTAATCTGAACTTTAAGTAAAGTTTATTTTCAAATTTTACTAATATGTACGTTGCTTTATATTTAAATTTAGTTATAGAATAATTTAAAATAGACAAATTTGAACCTTTTATTATAAACATAACTTTCAATTCCTATTATACAAGGCTCTTAAATAATCAACCATTAAATGACAAAATAAAAATAAGGAAATTTCAGGAATTGTTGCTTTTTTTATATTAAAAAAAAATAATAATTTTGTACAAAAACATGTGTTGCGCAACGAACGTAGTTATATAATTCCTGAAATGCTAAAGTTTTAAAGTCTTATACGATTCCAGCTATTAAAATTGCAAAGTTTTTTTTTTGTATAAATTTTGGTACTAAGTAATTTTTGTGTGTGTATCAAATTGGAATCGTGTATAGGATTAGTATAAAAACGTAAAGAAAGATCAAATTTTGCAAACTTGTAAGAAACTATCGTTTATTATTCGCCAAGTCGCTTAAAAACTATCGAAAAGAAATGTAATAATTGAAAACATACTATATCATAATATTTATATGTATATATATATAAATTAAAGAAGGGACAAATTATATATACAGAATTTAATTTTATTTAATCCTTCTTAACATTTAAATACGAATCGCGTGTAAAAAATAAATGAGAGAAAGAAAAGAAGAAAAAAAAACAATTATATCATAAGTAATCATCAGTTTTCGAGGAAAGAAACGAAATCGGTGAGTTTGTATAGTTGATCTTCACTAGAAATATGTCCACTTGGCTCTGGACTGGGCCTCACTGGATGAACCATCCTAGTGTCAGCCTCAATATGCCAGCCCTTCTCAATGCATGCAGCACCTGCCACCTCGACGGTAAGCCCCGTCATCTGGGCAACAGTTTCCAACGTGATTGACGAATAGGCGTGTGATATTAAGTCTACAGCTCTAAGGCGCACTTTATCTAAAACGTAAATTAAAAAACAAAAAAATAGAACAATGCATGATTTTTTTTAAATGAGAGATGTACCTTGAACATGTTTCATAATTTCCGCTACAATGTCTGACCATTTAACTGCAGTCAGGGCTTTGTAAATTTGGGGGAATTCCCGCTTCCACATGTGCTGACCCACAGCCCAGATCTGGCCCAGCTCCGCAGTGGATGACTTAATGTTTGCTGGTATACGCTTCCATAAACACTTGGCATTACATCTGTCAAAAAAAGAAAATAATGGGAGAAGAAAGAAAGAAAATTGGGGTTTCAGTATGATATACAATTTTTTTTTGTTTTTGCAAAAGGGTGTAGAAGTTGTTCGGCTGTGGTGGGCCTGCACTTACAAATCATTCTGATATAAATAAATAGCTAATAACTGTTCGTAAACTTGTGTTGTCGCTACGCCGTTCGGGGCCTGGAAACAGTCCAAAACAGAGGAACAGAGGTAGTAGAGAAAAAACGAAAATATAACCTGCAAATGCGAATGTCACCTACCTCGAGCTCTTGCCTTTCTAATTCCTCGGCTAATTTATCTATGCTCTCCAGTACCATTGCGGTCGGCATAAATATCTAATAGTCACAGTCTTAAATAGATTTTATTATTAGGTTCACTTTGTTCTCTAAATATTTTATATACTATTTACATTAATAAAATTAAGATCATTCTCAAATAATGACAGCCGACATTTTTATTGTGAACCGGCTGCGCGCATCCAACGCACAAACATTAAAAACTTTTTTGATATACTGTTCAGTACAGTACGGATTGTGAAGAAGCGTTTGCAATTCACTATAGCCGATCACTTCTTATCGAATCGATTTTAGGTTGCTTTTGTATCAAAGGACTATTCCAGAAACCTAAATTTCAACTGTAACGTTCACTTGCTACTATCAGCAACCAGAGTTGCATTGGAGACTTGTTGGTTGCATAGCTTAGATCAATGTTTAATCCTCATATACAGAGTGGACATGATATAACCACCTGAGTTATGATACTATAGTTTTAAAGAATATTTAGAACAAGCTATCAAGGCATACATAATAAAGAACAAACACTATTTCTTTTTTTGATTATATTTCATATTAATTAAAATTGAAGGCTGTAATAAATGAAATTACACAAATATTAAATAAAATTGGACGTAAATACTGAAGTTAATAGCCTTTACTATGTATGTAGAAGCACATATACAATAAATTATGTTAATTATATAACGATTATTGCAAGTAATGCAAAACTAAATAGTAAAAACATAATCCTATTGGATTATAACATTATTCCTTTATATTACAGTAATAATAATTTATATTATATGGTTTCTTGTATTTCAGAAATGGAAGCAATTGTATACACATAATAAAGAACAAAAACTATTTCTTTTTTTTGATTATATTTCATATTAATTAAAATTGAAGGCTGCAATAAATGAAATTAAACAAATATTAAATAAAATTGGACGTAAATAGTGAAGTTCATTTACTATGTATGTTGAAGCACATATACAATAAAATATGTTAATTATATAACGATTATTGCAAGTAATGCAAAACTAAATAGTAAAAACATAATCCTATTGGATTATAACATTATTCCTTTATATACCAGTAATAATAATTTATTTTATATGGTTTCTTGTATTTCAGAAATGGAAGCAATTGTATACACATAATAAAGAACAAACACTATTTCTTTTTTTGATTATATTTCATATTAATTAAAATTGAAGGCTGCAATAAATGAAATTACACAAATATTAAATAAAATTGGACGTAAATACTGAAGTTCATAGCCTTTACTATGTATGTAGAAGCACATATACAAAAAATATGTTAATTATATAATGATTATTGCAAGTAATGCAAAACTAAATAGTAAAAACATAATCCTATTGGATTATAACATTATTCCTTTATATTACAGAAATAATAATTTATATTATATGGTTTCTTGTATTTCAGAAATGGAAGCAATTGTATACACATTAAAAATATTGCAGAACTTATAATATATTAGGTTTTCTTTATTATGGAATAAATAGATCTTTAACATCAGTAAAACACTAACAATGTTCAATGTATACATAGAAGTAATGAACAATGTATCTTCAATTCAATGTATTATTGATAAGAAAAAAGCTTAAAGTAAAATTTATAAATAAATTCTTAATAATACTAAAAATATAGTTGACTTTTGTAGAGTATTTTTCTATTTTCTTGAACAATCCAATAAGTTAGATGTTTTGGTCACTTTATTAAAATTTCATTTTTTTTCTTTTGAACCATACTTACCTTATGTTTGATTTGATTATGAATATTATTGCATCACAGTTTCTGTATAAAAATCCAAAATCTTGAAGCTGATACTGAAATAATATTTATTAAAACATGGAAAAATGAATTTCAGTATTTTCGTGTTAATTATTTTATTTAGAACAAAATTATTAGTTCGTAATGCTTTGAATACAAATATTAAAATGTTCATATTTATCGAATTAATAAATTTGATATTTGTCTTAAATATAGTTTTTCAGACATTTTCAGTGAAGATTTGAACCTGATACAAAAGGTAATAGATGCCATTAAATAACAAAATTTGGGCTGTAATTATTAAAAAAAAATAGTTAAAATAAAATTACTTTCGATGTTTTTAATGAGTTGTTAATTTTCGAACTGATACAAAAAGTTTCAAAATTCAGACATATATCTTTATAATTACAGTGGAACCTCGCTTAACGAGCAATAGAAATTGTAAGAAAAATGACTCGCAAAATGAAACACATTATTTTATATTACATTGGTTTATATGGGGAAAATTGTTTCACTACAAATCCCAAAATTTTGGAACATATTATGCTTGTTAAGCGTATATTCGTTGAGTTAAAATTTAAAGTTTATATTAATAATCTTGATATCAAAATCAGTCTTAAATTTAGTTTTAAAGATATTTTTTATTAAAGATTTGAACTTAATACAAATGGAGATATGTGCCTTTAGGTAACAGAATTAGGGTCTTATTGATTAAAAGAAACAGTAAAAATTTCATTACCTTAGCTGCTTTAATAAATTATTAATGTTGTTATTAGTATGAAAATCTAGAAATGAACCAAAAATCAAGTTTAAATATGCTTCAGTTAATATTTAAAGTTCATATTAATAATCTTGATATTAAAATCAATCTTAAATATAGTTTTTCACAAATTTTTTAGTCAAAAATTGAACTTAATATAAAAGGTAGCATTAGGTAACAGAATTAGGGTCATATTAATTACAAAAACAGTAAAAATTTCGTTACTTTTGTTGTTTTTAATAAATTTTCTAATTAGTTTTTTTTATCATTGAGGCCGTAATTCTGTTATTTAATTGCACTTGTCACCTTTTGTATTAGATTCATTAAATGATAGAATTAGAATCATAATGATTAAAAAAAAATAGTTAAAATAATTATTATGAAAATTTTTGAAAATTCAAAAAAGATAAAAGGAATTCAAAGGATAAAAGGAATTGATGTTTTGAGGGATGTATGAGGATGTAACAAGTATTATCTGAAGAGTCGTGAAATATAACAAGAACCTTAAAATATTTTATTTATTGAAATAGTGTTACAATAATAAATTTTACACACTTTAAAAAAGAAGGTAAAAAGATAAAGAAGAAACGATAGAGATAAAGAAGACAGAAAAAAAAGGGGAGAAAAAGTCAAAAATAATACATAATAATATTTGTATATATAATATGAACAGTTACAGTGTCGGATAAAAAATAAACATATAACATCGTGAAAATACAGATATACAGAAACAATCTAACTAACATACAGAGAGAGATACAGTAGTCATCATTGATTTAAGTTTTAATTAATCAATCATTAATTAATTTCGAGAGATGTACAAGAAATGAGAAAGTAGAAATAGATCCGTAAACCTAACATACATTTATTACATATCGGTTATTTATGCGATTCTCATCTTAAAAATCTATGTATGCCGAATAAAAAATAAAAAAGGAGATTAAGAAAACAAAAACAATAAAGAATAAGTATACATATTTATATAGAGATATAAAATATAATGATAATAATAATAAAGTAGGTAACATAATTTAAAGGGAGAACTTAAACAATAAGTAAATTATAAAATAAAAGGGGATGCTGAGTATTTAAAGTATAAAATTTAGCAAAAAAAAAACTGGCATTAAATGGCAAGTTATTAAATATATAGTAAGTATATAATTATAAAATTTAATTAATTAAACAAAAAAGAAAAGGAGATAATTATTATAATGGGGGGGGGGAATAATAAACATTTGTGCTTAATTTAATCCTAGAACATTTAGAGCCCAAGTACACAGTACTTGGACTTCACATCCATGCAGATTTACCATATTAAGAGATATATATTATTATTATTAATAATAATAGTTTTCTGCCACACAAATCAAATTTGTACAGTGAATTCTGCGTTTTTTTTTTTGCTTTCATCTTTTTCATAATCAAAGATTGAAGCTGAAGGATGAACATGTATTTATTGAATTATTAAAAAAAAAGCAGGTACAAATGTTGATTTTGTCCATTTGCTTCTTCGCATCTCTTCAAATTTACTCTGCTCAAACAACACATTCATTTATATTTATTTATTTAATATATTGCATGGCTCCCGTATGCCCGAACCACAATGCTACAAAGAAAGAAAATAGCGTGTGTTTTTTTGTTTTGTAATATATATATTATTTATTAGTATTCATATTTCGAACAAGAATCGGTACTATTGCAGCGAAATTGTAACATTAGGTTTTAATTAAGTACAGAGGCTGAATTACAACGAATGAAATAATTGAAATAATACACAGAAACAGAAGCTTCGATATATTATCATTATTACAATAATTAAGTTTGTTACGTCAATATCAGTTTCATTCCTTCACTAAATTAAGCGGACGGCGGATGTCGTAATCTATTTAATCAAAATAAATGAAAATTTAAAAAAAAACAATCAAATCATCAAAAAAATTAAGAGTGCATCGAAAGTACACACCATAAATTTAATATCTTCCTTCAATCATCCTGTACATATATCGTTTTCTTCATATTTTTCATATTTTTTCAGTTTAAATGTTTTATATTCTCTTCAATATACATATATAACTTTATATACCATTCCATCAGGTAACTATCGGTCAGTCCATCGTTTCCATACAAGGCAGTATTTTTTTTTTCTTCTTTTTGATATGACAACAAAAAAGAAAAACAAACATATTTAATTAATCGATAATGAAAAAAAAACAAAAAAAAAGGATTACTAAGAGGACTCGAGCCTTCTTCTGTTTTGATTGCCCATAAAGCATGCAAGCGCTTTCAAAAAAAATATTAATTAATTGATCCATTCAACGAAATTTAATCTTAATACAATATTTCATATAACTTCTTTATTTTTTATTAAATCTAATCAAAGTATTTTTTTTAATTAAAACTAATTAAAGTAGTTTTTTAAATTTATTTTAATTAATAATTAGGCCTAATACTTTAATTTACATTTGAAATATTCAATTTGTTAGAAATTTTTGTGAATTTAAATTTTATTTCCATTAAAATAACTTAATTTTGGAAACATCTTGTTTTAGAATCATTGATTATTCATACAATTCATTTAAATATTTATATTATTTAGACTCTCTGCGATTACGTTTACTCGATTTCCAAAAAACTTTCTACAAAAATATCTTCTTTTTTTTGTTGTTGTTGTTGTAAATAACATAATTTATTGTGGATCTCTCATATATAATTAGTAAATTCATTTTTTTTATTATATATTATTAATACTACAAGAATAGTAAAGATCAAATATAATTATGAAGCAAATTAGAGAGTATATTTATTTCAAGGTAGAATCTAGTAATTAACTAATTAGTCTTCGAAGATAAGGCTTAAGGTTTTGATCCCGTTTTAATTTAGTTTTTTTTTGTAAAGAAATTAAAGTTTTTATTATTATTAGTAGTAATATTCTAAGGAAATATATATTTAGTTCATTTGCGACATCTTTTTTTGAAAATATAATTATTTTATAGACATTTTCCTATATTTATTGATTTTAGTGAAAAATTCTAAATTTTGTACAAATAATTAAGAGAGACAATACAAATTTAATAACAAGAGTTAGAAATGAGTATTTATCTCATTTTTATTAAATTATGTACCAAACAAATATATATTTTATAATATTATATAATATAATCAAAGTTTACTACATTTTTTTTTAAACAATGTCATAAACAAAATATGTTTTCTAATATAGAATAAAAAGTTATAGAATAGATGTCGGCAACCTTTTTGGAGACAAGAGCCTGTTTGTATTTGGGAGCCGCAATTTCTCATCAAAAGAGCCGCATATGATCGTCACCAATTGCAACAAACTGGCTTTATTTAATTGTGAGTATGTTGTAATTCTTTTAAACTATTTATTAAACGTTTAAACGTTGAATTTTATGAAATTTCAGTAATAATTAAAACGTTTCTTGAATGGATCAATTCAGTTAAATTGAAAATAACGATTATTCTAGTAGTAAAATGTATTAATTTCTAAACGAAATCAAAGTTCGTGTCATTATATTAATAATGATTATTACGAAACGTAATTGGATTTAATCAATAAAAAAAATGAAATTAAAGCACTTGCATGATTTATTCATTCTATATTATTTCCCTTACTTAACAATTTCATAATATTTCACATAATCGATCACGTTTCTATACATTCCTTATTTTATGATATGATTCCTTCCGCACTTGCACATCCCAAAAATCTGGGACCTTGAGTATTCAAAAGACATGGCACGATTTCAGAAAAATTCCAATTAGAAATTCCCCAAAAAGTAAATCTTTCACAGCTCCAAAATCGATACAAAGTATATAAATTTCGAATCTAGATTCTATTAATATAATAGTAATTTGTTATTTTCAATTGGAATGTTAAAAATTTACATTGATTGAGAAAAAAAAAATGATTATGCATCCCGATTTTGAAAGATGTGCAAGAGTACTCTATAAAATTTCGAAAATATCTCATTCACCTTAATTTAATGTCTTTTTTTATGTAATTAAATACTGTACTTCAGCCAATATATAAATATATACAAATCTTTAAAAAAGAGAAAGAAAATCGTAGCCTATTTTGTTGTATATAAGAAAAAACTGATCACAGTTTTCTAAATTAACTGGTTTCGCGTAGGCAATCAAATAATTGGAATGGGATTCCTCTTAAAGCAGACGTGAAATGGCACAATAAAAAATAAAATCGTCAAAATTTTTCATCGACATACCAAAAAAATTAATTAATTAATTAATAAAGAAAGCAAAAAAATAATTTGAAATTGGCGCCTTGCGCCTGGTAACCGCTTCCGGCCATCGTTTAGGTAACTCGATTCGCCTTAAAAATAAACTCAATAAAAATCGTTAATAAAATATATGTATATATATAAAAAAAAATCATCTCGTTCTGTAAACAATAATTAATTAATCACACACAAAAAAAAATACATCTTTATAATAGTGCCATGACTAGGTTGTATCGCATTTTAGGTTCTCGTTTGCTGTGCTTATTTTTTTTTGTTTATACTTATTTTGCATCGCCTCCATCTTTCGTTCATTTAAACAATAAGAAAATATTTAGAGTAGTTGTAATAATAGTAATAATAATAATAATAAAAAATATGTATATTTATAGATATATATTATTCCATTTTTTTAGCAAGAGATGCCGTGTCCACAGCATCCTTTTGGTAACCATTTCCATAATATCTAATTGCACCGAAAAAATTGAATTAATCGTTAAAAAAAAATGTGTAAATATATATATGTGTAGAGTATTATATTATGTTTGTATATAAAAAAAATAATAATAAGTACATATGTATAAAATATTAATTAATTAATTTAAACGAAATAATAATAATAAAAAAAATAGTAGTAAATATCCAATGTATAGCCACATAGTCATAGCCCGGATAAATAAGGTAACTTGTATCGTCGTGGGTAACTTCCGTTCAATTAGTTTTTTTTTTGTTCATTTAAAAGTTATGAAGAAGCAAGCTCTCTCGATCCATATTCTTTTTTTTCCATATATATTACACGCATTTATGTATATTTATAGAAAAAATTTAAAACACACATTTTAAAGATTGTAAACTTGGTTAGTTCTCTTTACAAAATATACACATCCCGTATTCTTTTTGAAAGAATAGCAAAAAAATAAAAAAATAATAATAATTGAGAATAATTAATAATAATAACATTAACAAATCACATACAGTAGAATAACTCTTCATTTTGCTTAATTTCGTGCGTCGATCAAACCTCTTTCTTTCATCCGCAGAAACTCGTTCTCTTGATCTTCAATTTTTGTTGTTGTTTAGAATGGTAAACTGGCAACGAACATCTTCTCGATGAGCGGCGGCGCCGGGACGAGGTCCTCCAGTTTAAGGTAGAAGATCCTCTGGAGACCTTGAACGCTCAGGGAGCGGAGTTCCGGAAGCTTTCCGAGCAGACGGCTGAAGTAGTGCGCCTTGCGCTGAGCCTCCGCGTTGTAGGTTACGTGATCCCTCAATGATGAGATGATCTTCATCTGGAGCTGCTCGACGCGGTGCGGCTCCTTCAATCCGTGTCTCTCTGTAAAAAGAAAGGAGAAAAAAAAGGTCTCACATCAATTCACATGACTATAAATCAGAGACGGCGACGAATGCAAATCGCCGTTCCAGCGCTCGTTTATCTCAAATTGCTGCGGTCCTAAACGCTTTGCCATTTATTTCATATGCCCATGTTTAGAAATGCGAGTTATACAACCAATAAAATCCGCGCTCAGCGGGACTCTCTAATATTTCCTAGAGTTTTACAACTGTCCGACGAACCTACTTTGAATTTAAAATGTAATTTCATTACGACACTTTATTTCAATAATGAACTATAGTATTAAATCTTTACGTAATGGAGGAGATGTTGTGTCCTATTGTATTTAAAAACTTAAATTGAGATTTTTTTTATAGAATTATCAAAATTTCCTTGTCACATGGCGGAAGTATTGTGTCCATGTTACATAAGAAATAGATGAATTAACTATATATTATAAAAAAAAGGAGGTGTTGTGTCCAGACAAATTGATTTAAATATTAGGTAATTTTTATAATTCTAAGTATCGTAGCTTATTTTTAAAGTACTTAAGCACTACAAATCAAATACATGAAAAAATTCAAAATTTAGTAAATTCGTTAAATAATAAGAAATATTTTTACTTGTAAAATAAAGCTAGAAATGTATATTTCCTTGATTGTCAATTAAATTTAAAATATTCAAGAGAAATTATCTAGAAATAAATTATATTTGTTATAATTCCAATGCAAGGTAATTGGAATTAATCCAATATCCGGTGTGAAAAGCTTTTAAAGTAAATTTTCAAAACGAGGCTCTGCAAATTACAATTTGTCATTCTGAGAACGCAATTAATTAACGTATGCTATAATGAGGTTCGGTATAATCGAAATGTGCGAAAAAATATCAACGAAATTGTCGAATTAATGAGAGATATCCAGGCTTGAAATTGCAAACGCCGTAAAAGCATTGCAGTTAATGGCTCGTAAATTTCTGTACAATCATGGATTCATCGGATGCGTCGAGACAAACGTTAATATTTCAATTAGTTGTTAATCTGTTGAGGCCCCGTTTGAAAAGAATAAACATTGACTGAAATTGAACGCCACTTGCGTAATTTACGTTCGTGAGCGAGCGCTTTTCCTAATTAGGTTTAAATGATGTGAGCTTGTGCTTTTCCGATTTCGTTTTTGGCTTTGGCTATAAATTAATAATGGATTCAATTTCCTGTCTCTCGGACGCAATTAATTTCTGAGCGGTTCGTTGAATAATTCGGCTCATTGTGAATTGATGATCGCGTGTTCGGATTTCAAACATACATGGACAGTGTTGTGGGGTTGTGGTGATCTCGTAATTTTTTTTTTGTTGGTTCGTGAACAAAAAAGTGTATCATTCAATGTACCGACTCAACAAATGAATCCTTAAAGACTTAAGGATAAAAGATCGTATAGACAATTACTTATTATAAAATCTTATAAAGCACTAATTTTTAATTATTCTATCTAAGTATTAAATGAAACATACTTGTCAAGAAATCTAAAATATCTGGGTATTTTGTCGAAGGGTAGTTTACTAATATTTAAGAGTTTTTTGAGTCACGACAAAATCTAATGTGAATAATGTATTTAAAACTTTGCATATGAAGTAATTATTAAAAAAAAAATAGAAAATGTAGAATAAGATTCTTACCAGTAACGAGGGTGAGGGCGCAGAGACAGGCGAAGGCAGAAATGTCGATTTCCATGAGATGAAGGCTGCTGCAAAAGTCCATGATGGCATGAAGCCAATCGCCAAAGGAGCGCTGACACTGTTGCTTGTCGAGGACGACGCCGTTGCAGAAAGTTAGCTTGGTGTCGTTGGGATGGGTGCGGTAAGCGAGACGAAGCACGAAGAGTTCCAAAGATGCCGATTGGAATAGGAGCTCCTTGTCGTCGTGCGAGAGGTCCTGGAAGCCGGGGATTTTGTCCGCAAAGTTTCTGATGACGTCGACGGAGGTGGTAAGCAAGGTGTAGAACTGCAGGATCTTGTCCGCTTCGGGGATGATAGGCTCGATGGGACTGGGTTCGCAGTACTGGGAGTAGTCTAGGTTAGCGAGATCAGGTGTGGTGTCGACGTGGGCGCGCACCAGGGCCGTGATGAGAGAGACCGGTGGACTTGGTGGTGATTCCTGCGGGGATTTTGGCTTCGAAGGCAGCCGACCCCGTCTACCTTTCAGCGAGTCCGTCCGGACGACCTCCTTGACCATACCAACGGCCAGACACTTCTGGAATCTGCAGAACTGGCAACGGTTGCGCCTCCTCTTGTCCACGGGGCACGCCTTGTCGGCGAGACAAACGTACTTGGAACCTTTCTGCACTGTCCGTTTAAAGAAGCCCTTGCAACCCTCGCAGGTGCGCACTCCGTAATGCTGACAAGCGGCCGTATCTCCGCAGACCGCACACAGTTGGGACGGGGATGGCGGAGCTGGACCTTTGTTGGAAGTCGGCTGCTCGACACCACCCGGCGAACTTGCGGCTGAAGAACAAACGGAAGATGTTGGACCGGCCATGCGGAGCTTCGGGCTTTCGCTGCTGCTGGTGGATTCGGAGCGTTGAAGTGGAAGCGATGCCCTTCGTTGACGAGGGCTCAAAGCTGTGCTGACGTGGAGCTCTGAAGCTGCGCTCTGGTAGGGCGGAAGCGAATAGGAATCCTGCGAGATCAGCGAATCGAAGCCGGGACTGCATTGGGGCGGCGGATAGTAAGGGCTGGTGGTGTACTGATGCTGCTGGTACTCGTAATGGTGCGTTGGGGCAGCCACGTGGGCCGGATGATGATGGTAGGCGTTGAAGCATTCCTCCTCCATCTTGAAGGTGTTGTATCTGACCGAGTAGGTCTCCTGGAAGCTGGGCAGCGGTGCCGGTGATGGAGGCTGCGACTGCAAAGCTACTTCTGGGAACGGGTCAAGATCCTCTGGTGGCAGGACGGCACTCGGGTCGTCCGGGAAACTCAGCAGATCCGCAAAACTGCTCGAGCCAAACGGGGTCTGCAACAACAACCGGACAACACAGGCTCAGACATTGAATTGCATTGCATTTTGATTCGATTGATCTCAATACATAAATAACAGCTCTGGGCTCATTATATTTAGGTGTCAATCGGTGCGCTACTATAATTAACACGGCGAAATCTAATCACGGCATCGCGACCAAACGACTGACCACCACCCGACCGACCAAACAATCTATCTACACTTGTAGGCAGGGAAGGCAGGAAGCCAGGAAGGTAGTGACTCTCTTTGGATCGGTGATTGTCCGCGACTACAGGGCCAGGTGACACGACGTGATTTATCGCCTCCGTTCCGTTTCACCTAGTTTCACGCAGAAGAGGGGTTTCTTCTCATAGGCGGAGTCGCCATTCTCTTCCATTGGCCGACCCGCACCGTTGCGTGCGTCGCAACCGTTGCGACGTCGCGACGCCATTGCCCACACTCCTCCTCGAATAGGGGAGACACCCAAGACCCATCCATACCCATATACACGGAACTACTAAAGCTTCGCAGCAAAAAACCGTAGAACTCAGGAAGCGCAACTTCTAACAACTAATAACAATATCCGGGAAGTCCTCGACATCCTTAACAGTGCTTACAAAACTAATCGCGACTGTCTTAATATATCATAATTAAGTGCGTATTAATGGAGAGCAAACAGCGGGGAATGTGCAGCATGTGAAACAGCCTTCGCATGTTTGGTGCATGTATCAGTATCAGAACTCTCCGCTACTCAATATACGTTCGTGTCTACGGTACATATCCGTACAGGGACGCATTTACCAAATCTCAATTTTACGAAACGGTAATTCAACAATTACACACTCAATTTCACAGCAGCAACAGTTTGCGACAGAAATCAACTAAAATATTATATTAAAATAACTAAGAAAGTTTATCGACTCCAAAACAATACCATTACAAAATCTCCAATTACAATATTAATTATTAACTAAATTCCAAACATTGTATATACTCCACGATAATTTATTTTTATTACTAATCGATTATTGTTATGACTAAACACAAAGCACTTTTATGACTGACTAAATTCCTACAAGTTATATTATTAATACACAGACACATCCACACTATTCCCGTCTTCAAACACAAATAGCTTTGTCTCTCAGTAAAACCAAATTACTATTGTTAATAGTTGGTACACTTCTTTAAACGTATTTGTTCAATTTGAGTTAGTAATTAAAAACAAAATTATTAATAATTTCCAATATTTAACTAAGAAAAGGCATTTGTAATTAACTCTCAGACAAATTATATTTATAATAAAAGAACAAATAAATTAATACTTGCATATTTCTTGTGCCCCATAGATTTATATCCACTGCATTAATAATTAGCAATTTCAAAGAATGTTCACGCTTTCCTTAATTATTTTATTACTAATTGCACAATAAAACGTTTTGTAATTTTTCATATATTCATATAAATTTCAGTGAATTATTGTTATATGATGATATTGATACTTAAATTATAGAACAATGAATGAAAACTGAATACGTGCCTGCGCTTGTATCGATACAAGTACATCTATGTTTGCAAAACCATTCGATCTGTATTTATTTATATAATCGAGACGCGTATTTCCAAACGGACATTACGCATCGGACTTACTCATGTCCACTCGATCATTATCCCATTTATAAATAGTCATTACACGTTTCCCTCGACTCGTAAAAATTAATCTGTCGACGGAAGAGGTAAACAGAAAACGAAGAACTCGGATTCTGCATACGCATATCTCGAGTTCGGACTGGGCATTATGCAACAGCATTCATTATACATTCAGAATGCGAAATCATCGCTTGACCGTCCGAGATGAAGACTTTACAACAACAACCATTGGTCATGTCAAAGTTCGATAATATTAATGGTTTGATGAAATGTAAGGACAATCTATTAGAATACAAGGATTTCTTTGCGACTTGCACAAAATTCGAGATTTTTTTTTAGGTCATCGTTGCTTTTCTAATTACCAACGCTTCTCGGAACGCAACACTATTGGCAAAAATAATTACGATGATGGTGGTTTTTAGTAACGATTCTTTGAGTTTGAAGAATTGCATGAATCAACGAAATGTGCAAACTTTAAAGTAAAAATAATTGTTATTTTAACTATTGTATCTATATATGAAGAAACGTTGCACAACACTTTGTTTTTGGTTCATTTAATTGTTCGAAGCGCATTGAATTTATTGGAATAAGGTTCCCAAATGAGGATTTTCCAGCTCTAATTTCCCTTTTCCTAAATCAGTAGTCACGGCTCTTTCCTTCTACAGTTTACTTTAGAAAGTAAATAATTGACAATTAATTTTGATATTATCTTAGTTTTTATTATGTAATATGAAGTAATATCTCACATAGTGCGGCCTCCATCAGTCCGGGTTCTCTATAGTACGGTTTGAAAATTTCTAAACAAACTAAATTTGAATTCAGCAATCATATAAGTATATTTTCGTATCCTCAATTAGTCCGGATTCAAATATATTAACGGAAACTATGATTTAATAATAAATTTCAATGAAAAATTGCAACATTGTGGATATATTTTTTTCTAATTGTAAAATAAACGATTGGAATTGCATGCCTTAAATGGAATCTTTTAATTAATGACATCGTTTCGCATCGTTCGCAAATGGGGGGTATTTCAAAATTTTAATTTCTCAGCAATAAAATAGGAACGTATGTGAGTGTATTTTTTTTTGTCATTTAGGAATAAATTAGTGATCGCGCGACACCGAGCACTGCACTTAATTTATTACAGAATGTACAAGGATGGACATTAATTTTCGTCTTCGCGAATATCCACAAAACTTTTAAATCTCTCTCAGCATTAAATCACAGTTTAGAAGTCGAGATACGCGTTACGAAATTGTTGTCAGTGTGTTTCTTTCTAGAAATATTTGCAATGTTTCAACATTAAAATAAAGTAATTTGAATAAAACAACTAAGCAAACATTTAAGTATTATGAAAGCAAAATTTAATTACAGTTTTACAATATTTTTTTTAATTAGATTTTTTTTATATTTATTGTAATAAATCATTGGCAGATTCGATAATAATTTGATCAAAATTGGCACAATAAATATTTGTATAAAAATTAATTAATATTACACGTGTTTGGTCAATATTTTAATTTTTCTAAAAAATAAACTTATAATTGGTAGTTTTTAATCATTTTTTATTTAATAATGATTAAACATTAACAAAATTTAGCAAATTTGTTGATTTTAACAGTTTCCAAAAAAAATGGAATACTATTAAAACTAATCAAATTAGTTTTTTTTCAGAATTAAGGTGTGGAAAAAAACGGTATATTAATTATATTACATTAATTCTAATTCAAAGATTAATGTAAGATATATGGAAACACATTTATTTTATAAAATATTAATTTGCTTTGCGATTTTATTAAAATATGTTAATAGGCTGCAAATTAGAATAAATGTAACATTTCGAAATAAATTAAACTAAAATTGGAGGCTTGAAATGTTTCTACTTCGTTAATTGCAAGAAATGCGTGTTGTAATTAAGAAAATCCACTCAATTAATCTCATATTTCCTGATATTAATATGCAAATTTCAATGAAAGATTTAAAATATGTTTATTTTGTTAATGATATTATAAATTTCAAGAAGTTGTAATTAAGAAAAGACAGTCAAATTTTATTTATTTTTGTTTTCTTATACAGAAATGCCTCGAATAGTGCGTATAATTGGTTTAAAACCATATAAATCGTTAAAAAAAGAGGGTATAGCAAAACAATTTTAGATAAACATTGCTACTTTCGAGGTATTAGTATAAGAAAAGACTTTGGGTGGATATTTCTTATATCTTTACTAAGAAAGAATTTGTACAAAATCTTAAGTTTGTTACAATTTGAGATAAACAAGTAAAAATATAAAAGTGTATTAAGAATAATCAAATAATAATTTTAACATAATACTTTAGAGGTAAATATTCCCTGCTTATTAGTACTTGAGTAAAACCATTAAAATTTATCAATAAATTAGGAATGATCAAAGAAAGAATAAAGAAAATGATCATAAGAAAATATTTCTGTAACGTTGAATGAAAATCGCTAGGAAAACTATAATCAATTTAAAAAATAGATTTTAAAACTATTCAATTTTCCTTTGTATTAGGAATGTTGATACAAATAAAGATGTTAAGATTGGTACTAAATCTTTAGTAATTGAGTAAAACCATTAAAATTTAACAATACATTAGGAATGGTCAAAGGTAGAAAATAAGCATAAGAAACGATAACCTATTGATATTTTAATATTTTTTGAAATGAAAATCGTTATGAAAACTTCAATTCATTAAAAATAGATTTAAAAACTATACAATTTTATAGTGAATGTTGAAATGCATAAAGATGTTATTGCGTAAAAAGAATGTAATATAAGAAGCCACCTTGGGGTGTTAATATTTCTTTGCAACTTTGTAGTTTACTTGTTTCACTCATTGATTTACATAATTTACATTTGCGGCGGATTAAATATTAAGCCGATTTTTTATGTATTTATGGAAATGGCAAATTTATTCAGAAGTCGAACACAATGAATCGCCGTTTACATACAGATGTGTGTACACGTCTATCTCGCTCCCTCTCACCTTCATCTCGTATACTTCTTACACTCTCTCTTAATATATTTATACATAATACTATATAGTATGGTATATGCACGTGGCTCCATCTTATATCAATTTATACGGCCGGAACATAACTTCTGTTGACGGTTATTGCATGTTCATATTGTAATTTGCGATGCGATTAGAGATGGATGCATAAATATTTAAACGCACGGACTTTTAGGTGTACGCCGACACACACACACGGCTTTCGCATCGCCATCAAAAAGCCCAACCTCTTCACATGCTGCATACTACATGATACATTCCTCTTTTTTTTCTCTCTCTCTCTCTCGCCGTTTTTTTAACGCGAAAAGAACCATCGACGTTATGCAAATA